CAATCACCGTGAGCCCAAGTTATGAATTTGCTCTTTTATTCTCCCCTTCCGTCCTAGGGAAGGAAGGTCAGCACTCCAAGGGCAGGCGCTTTGGTGAATCTCTGAGCCCAAAATAATCATTCCCCAGGAAGGCGGTCGATTACATTTAACATCTTTAAACCCACAAATGCAGAAAGGCCTGTTTTCTGCAAGCCAGGCTTCTCCCCTGAGGATTCTACTTCAGCTGACACTGTGGAGCTATTTGCAATGCGGGGCTGTCCTGTGTAACACTGGAGAAGCCATAAACTTCCCGCTGCTGGAGGGGGACAGTAATGCTTATGCGTCTCCACGCACAGGTATGGATAGGTGGCCAAGTGTGATGTCAAGTTAAAAAGGGCAAGTAGAGGCTGGGCACGGTGGCTCATGCCTGTAATCCCAGCACTTTGGGAGACTGCGGCTGGTGAATCACCTGAGGTCAGGAGTTCATCTTGGCCTGGCCAAGATGGTGAAACCCCATCTCTACTAAAAATACAGAAATTAGCCAGGTATGGTGGCGGGTGTCTGTTAATCCCAGCTACTCGGGAGGCTGAGGCAGAGAATTGCTTGAACCCAGGAAGCAGAAGCAGAGGTTGCAGTGAGCAGAAATTGTGCCATAGCACTCCAGCCGGGCAACAGAGTGAGACTCCGTCTCAAAAAAAAAAAAAAAGGCAAATAGAGGCTGGGCACAGTGGCTCAGGCCTGTAATCCCAGGACTTTGGGAGGCTGAGGATGGGGGAATCACTTGAGCCCAAGAGTTCAACAACAGCCTGGGCAACGTCATAAAACCCTGCCTCTTCAAAAGATATAAAAATAAGCTGGGTGTGGCGGCATACACTTGTAGCCTCAGATACTTGGGAGGCTGAGGTGGGAGGATTGCTTGAGTCCAAAAGGTAGAGGCTGCAGTGAGCTATGATTGTACCACTGCACTCCAGCCTGGGTGACAGAGCAAGATCCTGTCTCAAAAAAGGCGGGGGATGGGAGGACAGTAGCATGTATGATGAAATAACCTATGGGATACAAACCCATTTTTGCCAAATAATAGTAAAATACAGCAGTGGTAGTACTGTATATTAGTATATGAGAGATACATATAAAACAGCAGCATACTCTGGTTTCTCTTCATAACGAATAAATCTTTCGCAAAAAAAAAAAAAAAAAACAGCTTTGTGTTAGCTGGTTTGTAATGTGATTGGTACTTTTCATGTATTTCTATATGTATACTTCTTATACTTTACAAAAAGTAAATAATACTTTTTGTAATAAGAAAAATCATATAGGTTTTAAAAGATACCCAGCTCTTGCTGGGTGCAGTGGCTCATGCCTGTAATCTCAGCACTTTGGAAGGCCCAGGTGGGCGGATCACCTGAGGTCAGGAGTTCAAGACCAGCCAACATGGTGAAACCCCTGTCTCTACTAAAAATATAAAAATTAGCCAGATGTGGTGGTGGGCACCTGTAATCCCAGCCACTTGGGAAGCTGAGGCAGAAGAATTGCTTGAACCTGGGAGGCGGAGGTTGCAATGAGCTGAGATCACACCATTGTACTCCAGCCTGGGCAAAAGTGAGACTCCATCTCAAAAAAAAAAAAAAAAAAAAAAAAAGAGAGAGACCCTTAGGCCAGGCAGGGTGGCTCACACCTGTAATCCCAGCACTTTGGGAGGCCGAGGTGGGCAGATCATGAGGTCAGGAGTTCGAGACCAGCCTGACCAATATGGTGAAACTCCATGTCTACTAAAGATACAAAAATTAGCTGGGTGTAGTGGCATGCACCTGTAATCCCAGCTACTCAGGAGGCTGAGGCAGAAGACTTGCTTGAACCAGGGAGGTGGAGGTTGTAGTGAGCCGAGCTCAAACCATTGTATTCCAGCCTGGGCAACAAGAGCAAAACTCCGTCTCAAAAAAAAAAACTCCAGCTCTTTAGGAGTTTGAGGCTGCAGTGAGCTATGATTGTGCCATTGCACTCTAGCCTGGGTGACAGACCAAGACTCTGTCTCTAAAAACAAACAAAAATCCATGGCTGGGCATGGTGACTCACGCCTGTAATCCCAGCACTTTGGGAGGCCAACGCGGGTGGATCATTTGAGGTCAGGAATGGGAGAGCAGCCTGGCAAACATGGTGAAACCTCATCTCTACTAAAAATACAAAAATTAGCTGGGCAGTAGTGGTGCATGCCTACTCAGGAGGCTGAGGCAGGAGAATTGCTTGAACCTGGGAGGCAGAGGTTGCGGTGAGCCCAGATCTCACCACTGCACTCCAGCTTGGGTGAGAGTGAGATCTTGTTTCAAAACAACAATAACAAAAAAACAAAAAACCTGGCTGGACCCAGGGGCTCATGCCTGTAATCCCAGCACTTTGGGGAGGCCAAGGTGGGTGGATCACCTGAGGTCAGGAGTTTGAGACCAACCTGACCAACAAGATGAAACCCTGTCTTAAAAACAAAAAACAAAACAAAACAAAACAAAACCAGCTCTGGAGGGAGGAAAGTAAGGAAAGAAAAAAACAACGACTCGGTTCTCAGGGTTGTTGGGAAAAATGATGTCAGTAAAAAGGCCCTATACCTGGAATATAGTTCATTTGGTGAACAGGAAGGAGTTGTGTGAGCTGTTTTTCATTCAGCTCCCATTTTTAGAAGTGCTGGTTATGTGCTCTACATGTTACACACATCACCTTTCTCCGGCTGTCATGCTATTTTCTTTTTTCTTTTTCTTTTATTTATTTATTTTTTTTGAGACGGAGTTTCGCTCTTGTTACCCAGGCTGGAGTGCAATGAAGCGATCTCGGCTCACCGCAACCTCCGCCTCCTGGGCTCAGGCAATTCTCCTGCCTCAGCCTCCTACGTAGCTGGGATGACAGGCACGCGCCACCACGCCCAGCTAGTTTTTTGTATTTTTAGTAGAGACGGGGTTTCACCATGTTGACCAGGATGGTCTCGATCTGTTGACCTCGTGATCCACCCGCCTCGGCCTCCCAAAGTGCTGGGATTACAGGCTTGAGCCACCGCGCCCAGCTTTGTCATGCTATTTTCTTTTCTTCAAGTAGCTTTCATCACCAGGCATTGTCTGATAGATTGATTTTACCTGGCTCCACGTGATTCATACCCCGGAATAGTGCCTGGCCTAGAGGAGGTGCTCAGCAATAAATATTGTTGAGCAAAAACATGAATGTACAGATAATACCTAGATCAGACTCAGCGGGGCAGGGGGTAGGAATGGAACTCACAGCTCCGGTGGGCTGGGGGCAGCAGGCATCCAGGAACTGGGCCGGGCTAGGCAGAGGAAAGTCGCAGGCTTCAGCACAGGTCCAGCAGCAGTCTGGGGACCCAGAGGCACCTTGCTTCCTGCAAGGGGAGCTACCGTCCACGCAGCAGCCCTGGGCCTAGATCACAGGGTTCAGGATGGCCAGGCAGCAGGTAGTGACAGCCAAGGCAGCTTTCCCGAGGGGGCAGGAAAAGGTTTGGCTGGGGACGGGAGAGGAAGGACCCCCTGGTACCACAAAAGGGATAAATGCGAGGGCTTAATGGTAAGTGTCTCAGGGTAAGAGCCTGCAGATGAAGGGACCGGTTACCGGGATTCCTATTCCCCAGAGCCCACCCTTTATCCATGACCAGACCCCTCACCAGCAGGCAGTGCCTAGTCAGCAGCACTAGACCCAGCAGCAACAAATAGATGCCCACAGCGATGAAGACGATGGCAGGGATGGGGAGCAGCAGGGGAGGGCTGCTGACGGGAGCCGGGGTTGGATTCCACGGGCTAGAGGAGGCCTGGACGAGCACAGGAGGAAGGGGTGACAAGGAAGTGGAGAGGGGCTGCAGGAACACGGGAATACCATGAGGGACATGGAGGTGGCTGGGAGAGAAACAGCCACCAGATGGTGGAGAGAGCATCAATAGGACTACACCCTGATTCACTATCTGTTCCCCAAGCCTGCCTTATTCCCTGTCATCCCCAGTTCCTTCCAGAATGCCTCCAGAGAAATCTCTTGTCTCTGGGTCCCCTGCCACTCCCTGACTATCCCTCAGCCCACATTACTGGCCCCTCTCATCCAATTCTGCCCCTTTCCACCCCAGGTGTCCTTGTGTATCCCTCCCTCCCTTACAATCCACCAATGTCTCCCAGTGACTCACTTAAAACTTCTTTTATATATGTATTTATTTGTTTTATTATTATTATTTTTGAGACGGAGTCTTGCTCTGTGGCCCAGGCTGGAGTACAGTGGGGCAATCTTGGCTCACTGCAACCTCCGCCTCCCAGGTTCTCCTGCTTCAGCCTCCAGAGTAGCTGGGATTACAGGCTCGTGCCACTATGCCCAGCTAATTTTTGTATTTTTAGTAGAGAGGGGGTTTTGCCATGTTGGCCAGGCTGCTGTTGAACTCCAGACGTCAGGTGATCCGCCCGCCTCGGCCCCCCAAAGCGCTGGGATTCTCGGCATGAGCCACTACACTTGGCCAATCTTTTTTAGAGGCAGTGTCTCAGTCGCCCAGGTTGGAGTGCAGCTGCATGATCATGGCTCGATGCAGCCTGGAGTTCCTGGGCTTAAACGATCCTCCCACCTCAGCCTCCTCAGAAGCTGGGATTATAGGCGACAGCCACCACACCTGGCACTTAAAATTTATGTCAGTGACAAAATTCCAAATTTAGCCCTGCCTACCTCTCTTCCTCCCCTCTTCCAACCACACGATAGCCCTAGCAGTTTCCCGAATGCTGCAGCCTCCCTCTCACCCCAAGGCTGTTTCCGCTGCCGGAAATGCCTTTTCTCCTGGATTACTTGGTGAACTTCTTATCTTGGCCAAGAATACCAGAAATGTGCCCTCCCGTGGGAAGTCCATTCCTGGCACTCTTCCTCACAGCTCTTGTCCTGAGCTGGCGGGGTGCAGTCTGTGTTGGGTAGAAGCCCCCTCCCCAGTCCGTGCTGGAAGGTAGGCCCAGTTGGGGTAAGGACGGGGCGCTCAGGGGGCCCAGAGAGGGGAAGGGGCCCGGACTTACGTCCATGGAGCAGGGCAGGGCCAGTCAGTCCGGGAGCTGCAGAGGAGGGAAGGTTCTGGGTCTCAGAGGCTGAGAGGGGCCGTTAGACCGGGGTGCCCATCTCCTTCCCCTTTCCTGTTTGGGGAAACTGAGGCCATCGCTGGGCCGGAAGGTAGGGTTTGGGAAGGGGACTGGGGAGCCGGGGATCAGAGGCGGCGCTTTCCTCGCAGGCCGAGGCCACTCTCCTCCTCGGTCCCCACACCTCCCCGGTCGGTCGGTCCCCACCACCTTGCACCCTCCGGCCGCGGGCAATTCACTGATTCCGCGCCGAGCTGGGTCCAATCGGCCGAGGCGCCGGCTCCACCCAGAAGCCGTTCGCGGCATCCCGCCGTCGCCATGGAGACCAGCGCGGTGTTTCTACGGCAGCCGCCGAGGCCCACACTCCCTCCTCACGCCTCGCGGTTCCCGCCTGAGCTTCCGTGGCCACCGGGTCTGCGCTGTCGCGGCCCTAGCGGCCTTCTCGCGGGGACCGAAGGGGAAGAACGAATCCCGCCGTCGCCAGCCCGGGTCGGATCCTCATCAGATGCTGGACGTTAGAGGAGGCACCGCAGAGGGAGGATTGAACCCCGAGGCTACACTCACTACTTGGATGTCTCTCTGCCAAGCCACTGCGTGTCGCAGTGTACCTTCCCTCCTCTGCAAAAGGGAGAGACGCCTGCCGTTCAGGGATATTGTAAAAATCAGAGCTACTAGCCGGGCGCGGTGGCTCACGCCTGTAATCCCAGCACTTTGGGAGGCCGAGGCGGGTGGATCACGAGGTCAAGAGATCGAGACCATCCTGGTGAACATGGTGAAACCCCGTCTCTACTAAAAATACAAAAAATTAGCTGGGCATGGTGGCACGTGCCTGTAATCCCAGCTACTCGGGAGGCTGAGGCGGGAGAATTGCTTGAACCCAGGAGGCGGAGGTTGCGGTGAGCCGAGATCGTGCCATTGCACTCCAGCCTGGGTAACAAGAGCGAAACTCTGTCTCAAAAAAAAAAAAAAAAAAAAAAAAAAAAAAAAAAAAAATCAGAGCTACTTTTATTTTATTTTTATTTTATTAATTTTTTTTTTAAGAAAGAGTTTCGCTCTTGTTGCCCAGGCTGCAGTGCAAAGGTGGGATCTCCGCTCACCGCAACATCCGCTTCCCAGGTTCAAACGATTCTCCTGCCTCAGCCTCCCAAGTAGCTAGGATTACAGGCACGTGCCACCATGCCCGACTAATTTCGTATTTTTAGTAGAGACGGGGTTTCTCCATGCTGGTCAGGCTGGTCTCGAAATTCCGACCTCCGGCGATCCGCCCGGCTTGGCCTCCCCAAGTGCTGGGATTACAGGTGTGAGCCACCGTGCCCTGCTTATATTTTATTTTTATTTGTTGATTCATTTATTTTTGAGATGGAGGCTTGCTCTGTCGCCCAGGCAGGGGTACAGTGGCGCGATCTCGGCTCACTGCAACCTCGGTCTCCTGGGTTCAAGCGATTCACCCGCCTCACCCTCCTGGGTAGCTGGGATTACAGTCACAGGCCACCACACCTGGCTAATTTTTGTATTTTTAGTAGAGACAGGGTTTCACCATGTTGGACAAGTTGGTTTGGAACTCCTGACATCAGGTAAGTCCACCAGCCTTGGCCTCCCAAAGCGCTGGGATTACAGGCATGAGCCACCACGCCCGGCCTTCAATGCTACTTAAAAAAAAAAAAAAAAAAAAAAATAGATGGTGACTCATGCCTGTAATCCTCGCACTTTGGGAGGCCGAGGCAGGCGGATCACCTGAAATCAGGAGTTTGAGACCAGCCTGGCCAACATGGCAAAACCCCGTCCTAGTAAAAAATACAAAAATTAGCCGGGCGAGGTGTCGGACACCTGTAATCCCAGCTACTTGGGAGGCTGAGGCAGGAGAATGGCTTGAACCTGGAAGGCAGAAATTGCAGTCAACTGAGATCGTGCTGTTGCACTCCAGCCTGGGCAACAGAGTAAGACTCTGTCTCAAAAATAAATAAATAAAATTAAAAATAAAAAAAGTAGTAATGGTGTTTTGCTATTTTGCTCATGCTGGTCTCAAACTCCTGGCCTCAAGTGATCCTCCTTCCTCAGCCTCTCAAGTAGCTAGGACTAGAGATGCATGCTACTGTGCCCAGCTAATTCTTTTTTTTTTTTTTTAATTTTTTGTAGAGGCGATGTCTCTCTATGTTGCCCGGGCTGTTCTTGGTCTCCTAACCTAAAGCAATCCTCCGTCCTCATCCTCCCAAAGTGCTAGGATTACAGGCATCAGCCACCGTGCCCCGCCAAAGCTACTTGTTAATTGTGTGGAATTATCAATATTTTTTCTTTTTTTCTTTTTTTTTTTTTTTTGAGACGGAGTTTCGCTCTTGTTACCCAGGCTGGAGTGCAATGGCACGATCTCGGCTCACTGCAACCTCCGCCTCCTAGGTTCAGGCAATTCTCCTGTCTCAGCCTCCTGAGTAGCTGGGATTACAGGCACGCACCACCATGCCCAGCTAATTTTTTGTATTTTTAGTAGAGACAGGGTTTCACCTTGTTGACCAAGATGGTCTCGATCTCTTGACCTTGTGATCCACCCGCCTCGGCCTCCCAAAGTGCTGGGATTACAGGCTTGAGCCACCGCGCCCGGCTCATCAATATTTTTTCAACCTGACCCCACTGCTCTATTTTTACTCCGTTTTCACAGCCTTCACATCACTGTCAAAGTGATTTCCTACCACCTACAACAGATCTTGCTTCTTTTCCACTTTAAAACTTCCAAAGGCTTCCCACTTACTCCACGAGAAAGCCCAGCTGCTTTAGCAGACTGTCAACACCGTCTACTCTGAGCCCTGCCTCCTTTCCTTTTATTCATTCATTCACGGCGTATTCAGCAGGTAACAAGCACTGCTGTAGTATCTAGCAGAGAATAAGGTAAACTTCCTGCCCTCACATTACTGACATTTTACCAGAGGAGGGAGACCAGATATTAAATATATATAGATAAATTAAATTCCGTGGCTGGGCGTGGTGGCACATGCTTGTAATCCCAGCACTTTGGGAAGCCCAGGCTGGGGGATCACGAGGTCAGGAGATCGAGATCATCCTGGCTAACATGGTGAAACCCCGTCTATACTAAAAAAAAAAAAAAAACATTAGCCAGCGTGGTGGCACATCTGTGTAATCCCAGCTACTCGGGAGGCTGAGGCAGAGAATAGCTTGAACTCAGGAGGCGGAGGTTGTAGTGAGCTGACATTGCACTACTGTACTCCAGCCTGGAGGACGGAGTGAGATTCTGTCTCAAAAAACAAACAACAACAAAAAACAAATTAAATTTAATTTTGTATGCCCTTGGTTCTTTTCTGATTTTTTTTTTCAGAAGGAGTTTCATTCAAGTGATTCTCCTGCCTCAGCCTCCCGAGTAGCTGGGATTATACAGATGTGCCACCACGCCCAGCTAATTTTTTTTTTTTCATCTTCCTCAGTTTTTTTTTTTTTTTCCATCTCCAGCTAATTTTTTTTTGTATTTTTAGTAAAGTCAGGGTTTCACCATGTTAGCCAGGCTGGTCTCTGATCTCTGCCTCCCAAAATGCTGGGATTACAGGCATAAGCCACTGTGCTCTGACTTTTTTTCTGATTTTTAAAAGATGGGGTCTTGCTATGTTGCTCAGGCTGGTCTTGAACTCCTGGGCTCAAGCAGTCCTCCAGCCTCAGCCTCCCAGGTAGCTGAGATTACAGGCATGAGTCACCATACCTGCCTTCCCATTGGTTCTTTCAATAGGATCTGCCGAAGCCTTCCTGAACCAGTGCATAAGGTCTCACATTTCCACAGCTTTGCAGATGCTGATCCCTCTGCCTGGAGCACCCTCCATCTTCCCCTCAAACCTCCTCCTCACCCCTCAAGCATGTGCTCAGTTTGCCTCTGTGAGATCTCCCTGCCAACCTCAGGCAGAGGTGGCTGCTTTGGGCTGTGAATTCCCACAGCAGCACACAGATACTGCTATTCTAGCACTTGTCACAAGACACTTGAATTCCTCACTTCCGTGTCTGGCTCCACAATTAGACTGCAAGTGTCTGGGGCCTGGTCTGATTCACCTCTGTATCTTTTTTTTTTTTTTTGAGACCGAGTTTTGTTCTTGTTACCCAGGCTGGAGTGCAATGGCGCGGTCTCGGCTCACTGCAACCTCTGCCTCCTGGATTCAGGCAATTCTCCTGCCTCAGCCTCCTGAGTAGCTGGGATTACAGGCACGCGCCACCATGCCCAGCTAACTTTTTGTATTTTTAGGAGAGACGGGGTTTCACCATGTTGACCAGGATGGTCTCGATCTCTTGACCTTGTGATCCACCCGCCTTGGCCTCCCAAAGTGCTGGGATTACAGGCTTGAGCCACCGCGCCTGGCCACCTCTGTATCTTGAGATCTAGTATTTGGCCTAGCCCTGGGAGCTTTGGTAAATACTCACTGATTCTATTGATTGGTTGATTGATTGTTTTGAGATGGAGTTTCACTACTCACTGATTCTATTTATTTATTTATTTATTTATTTATTTATTTATTGTTTTGAGATGGAGTCTCACTTTGTCCCCAGGCTGGAGTACAACGGCATGATCTTGGCTCACTGCAACCTTCGTCTCCTGAATTCAAGCAATTCTCCAGCCTCAGCCTCCCAAGTAGCTGGGATTACAGGTGCGCGCTACCATGCCCAGCTAATATTTGTATTTTTAATAGAGACGGGGTTTCACCATATTGGTCAGGCTGGTCTTGAACCCCTGACCTTGTGATCCACCTGGCTTGGCCTCCCAAAGTGCTGTGATTACAGGTGTGAGCCACCGTGCCCAGCCTATTTCTTTCTCTTTTAAAAAAGTAGACATGGGGCCAGGTGTAGTTCAAGACCACCCTGGCCAACATGGTGAAACCCTGTCTCTACTAAAAATACAAAAAATTAGCCAGATGTGGTGGTGGGCACCTGTAATCCCAGCTACTCGGGAGGCTGAAGCAGGAGAATGGCTTGAAACTAGGAGGCGGAGTTTGCAGAGAGCCACGATCATGCCACCGCACTCCAGCCTGGGCAACAGTGCAAGACTCTGTCTCAAAAAAAAAAAAAAAAAGTCGACATGGGCTCTCGCTATGCCAGGCTGGTCTCCAACTCTTGCCTCAACTGATGCTCCCACCTCGGCCTCCTAAGTTGCTGGTATTACAGGCAGGAGCCATTGTGCTCAGCCAATATTCACCGATTCTATGAATCCATTGAAACCAAACACTAACCATGAATGAAGCATTGTTATCCACATGTCCTAGTTCCCTTGGCTTACAGGGCACTCAGACCTCCCCATTTCATTCCTAACCTTTTTAGTTCACACACACACACACACACACACACACACTCACAC